CCCCAAAACCCCAAAACCCCAAAACCCCAAAACCCCAAAACCCCATTAATCAAAATCAGTAAAAATTATAATAATCTATAGAATCTATAATATAATAATTAAAACTCGATTACACTTTTATAAAAATAACAGAGCGTAAGTGTTAAGTTTTAAAGCTTTTGTTTATTATTTATGAATAATATGTTTTATATTAATCAATTAATTTCTCTAATAAATTCTAAGATGGATATTTTTGCTAGATTTGAAACGAAAATACGATTAGAAAAGAGTTATCTAAGTCAAGTAATCTAATTTCTGTCAATATTAACGTTAAATATAGAGAATAAACAAGATAATAGACGATAAGAATAAAGATCTTGATTATGATCATATTTTCGAGTTATCAGAGAAGGTGACACAATTTATTGATTATGTAATTAACAAAAAAGAAGTTCCTTAGTATATGAATGATAGTGTGGGAAAGATTCATTATTAAATGACTTTGAAGGATTTTCTTCTATAGCATCCATTATTCAATTTATTTTAGACTACTTTAAGTTGATTAGAAGATGATATCGTATTAGGAAAGAGGAATTATCGTAGTTTTAATTAAGGGAATCTCATTGAACAGTAATTAGTTAATGAAGAAATTAAAGATCATGAATAAGATTTTGTGGAAATGAATGCAAGCACTATTATTCTAACTTTATAAAATGCTAGTAATTAAGACATATAATATTGCAATCAATTCGGAAATATACTTTTTACTACCTAATGGTAATACTCTATGTTTGAAAATTCAAAATTATTATTTGAAGATCATTTAGAAACAATTTGCAAAATCGAACATTAAGAAATAGAAAATGAAAGTTTAATTAATAATTTGGAAATAATTTTTGAGCATTATAAAGACTCAGCAGATAAAGATGGTTTAAAAAATGATATATTTAACTAATTATACTAAGATGCACTTACTAATAATGAGAAGTTTTAATACGATTCTAACCAAAAATCGATATCAATCAAGAGAATAGAAAGAGGAGATAAGCCTATCAAGATTTCAAATAAAAAGATATATTACTCGAGCCTGAGTGATATAAGCATTATTCTAGAATATAGTGATATTTAGGAGAAGATAGATAGAATAAAAGAGAAAAATAAATAAAAGAAATTATATATAGAATAGTTAGCAGAGTATAAGGGAACACAATATCTATTGTATCATAAAATGACTAATGATAGTAACGGTTAAGATTTCATAGTAGATGCAGATTTGAAATAGAATCATGAGATCAAATGCAGAATGGAACAAATTGAATGGAATTATCTTGAGGTCTTTCATCCGCCCAATGATCTCTCCATTGAAAATAAAAAAATCTATAAACTAGTTTCTTTGAGATAAGGTGAGATTGAATATAATTACGTACGAGAGCTATTTCTTAGAACTTTATTTGCATCTGCAACCTAAAGTAATAATATTATTGGGCAAGCATAAATAAATGGATGTAAGATCAATATTTCCTTTTTTATATAATATAGAGATATCCTAACTTGAAACTCATTAATCAAAGATTAAAAAGATTGAAAGGATTCATAATTGTGTAGCCTTTGAAAGATTTATGAGTGAATTAAAACGAATGAAAAAAAAATATCCAAAGAAATCTTTTGATAATATAGTGAAACATTTATTCCATGGTAGTTTTAAAACAAATCCTGAATACATATATGGCTGTGAGGATGGATTTGATATAAGATTTTCAAACGCAGGAAGATATGGTCATGGCATTTATTTTGCTAAAAATTCATACTACTCTCATAAATACTCATATACCACAAAAGACGGTTGCTTTTAAATTATGCTTGCATTAGTACTAACAGGAGATAGTCTACTTCAAATAGATGCAGACTCAAGTATTAAACTACCACCGCTAAAATCTGAGTAAGGATTTTAAAGATATGACTCAATTAATAATGGCCCTGGAGGGCATTATATTGTTTACAGCAATGACAAAGCATATCCTGGATATTTAATAACCTATGAACATATTTATTGAGCTAAAAATAATTAATTTAGATAATAAACAAATAATTTTAATTGATCATTATCATTATAATAATATTTCTCCAGGGGTTTTGGGGTTTTGGGG